TTATAAAAAAGTAAAATTTCTCTTTTAGAAAATTTATAAGTGTTTAAGTATATATAGGAAAACTGATTGTCAGCTACACGAAGTATATACCACCACATGACTATACATCTAGATAAAATTAAGAGAAATTTGTTAAAATAGAACAAAAAAAAGTCTCATTATCCTTTTTTACATAAATCATTTTTGATATATTTTGGACTTAAGATTCCCTTGACATACTTTTAAAAATTTAGATAAATATTTTTTCTTACAACGAATGACTATTCTATCAAACTTGAGGTGATCGGTAACTAGATCGGAATAAAACAACCAATTAAATAAAAATTTCTATGGAAAGACCTCACAGTCCTAACTAAAGAATCTGAAATTTGGTTTTGTGCTCGTGGAATATAAATGATCTTGCTGTCCGAGAAGCAACTTGTAACTCGCTATCCTCTCCAATTATGCTGCAATGCTTGACCAAACCTAGGGCTCCTTAATCTTGGCAATCAAATCCTTGCAATTTGTCCCAACGCTCTGATATGTTGAATGCTAGAGCATACTCTCAATCGTCCATCTTAATGATTCCACTTATGAATGCAAGGCAAACTTTCATTGAGAATAATTTTTATTTTCCATGAGTTGAACCTTCTCCAAGCTGTCCAACCAAACCCTTCTAGACCCGCTGAACTGTGCTATGCATATCCATGACCCATCTAACATGAAAATGTTTCCCAAGCTTATGATTTGGATTTCCTTATAATGTGGTTTTGTGGAATGGATGGCACCATCTATTTTGCATTGAACCAGACTTGACATTCACTCTCTGCATACCAAATGAGCTCAAGTGGATCCATGTCAATCCCCCTAAAAAGTTTATCATTCCGGGCTAGCTGGTGTAGTAGGGATCCATGGATCCTCCCATACCTTGACCTCATATCCATAATGAATCTTCTGTATGAGTCCCAACATGAGTAATTTTCGTACAGCTGAAATACTGGTCCACACATATGATGGGCTATTTACAGAGATTGTTCGTAATGGCGAACTCATTATGTAGTATCTTCCCCGAAAAACTCTTGCTACTAACAAATCCAGATGTTGAACTATTCTTCATAGTTGATTTGCTAGTAGAGCCAAGTTGAATTCATAGATCATACGAAAACAAATACCACCCTCCTCTCTAGGTAAACAAAGTTTTTTCCATTTTGCCCAGTGAACTCCCCTCTTTGTGGATTTGAACTCCAACAAAATTGTGCAATGGTACTTGCAAGGTTTTCACATATCTCTAAGGGGAGCAAGAAAGTAGACATAACATATGTTGGGAGAGCTAACAAGATAGATTTGATCATAACTTTCTTCTCTCCTTTCGAAAGCCATTTATCCGACCATCCATTCACTCTATTCATTAATTTATCTTTGAGGAATGCAAATAGCTTGCACTTTGATCCGCTGATATCTTATGAAATCTCTAAGTATGTCCCCATTCCTCCTTCATTTTGGATCCCAAGTGTATCCTTAATTTGTTGTCTCACATTTGCATTGATACATTAGCTTGAAGCTTGTCCATATTTCCTGAATACTTTCATCATCTCTTCACATTCATGGGGCTCCACCTTACAAAAGAAAATGCTATCATAAGCAAAAGAAAACAAAACCATTCCACTGATCTTCTGGAACCATGACATAACGATTCAGAATTTTTTTCATTATGGTCATTCCGTTTGTATATCTTCCTGAGACAAACCTTAAAATCCTTGCATTTGCTCCCTAATACACTTAGAACATAGTTCTTTTTTTGTCGAGGTTATCAAACCAGATTTTTTTCTGTAACAAAAGCCATAGGTCTTTTATTACAAAAACAAATAGTTAGAAAGTATAAAAACCAATAACTATGTTGCAAGAGTAATAATATTTTTTGTTACCAGAATAATGTCCCATGATTTTGTGAGATAACAAACTAACTCCCACATTGGATAATTAGATAAGAAGTGTCTAATATATAAAGAGAAGTTCAACTCTAATAGTACGAGGCCTTTTGGGAAGGAAACCAAAACCAAATCCAAGCGGGCTTGTCTCTTAATCCGAAAAGTGAACAATATCGTACTAATCTGAGAATATAGAGTTGGATATGAACTTTAACAAACCCAAGAATTGGTATCAGAGCGGTAGATGAGAAATCTGAAAAAGACCAAAATACCCTTTGAGTTATGAATGGGACCCTTTGAGTAAAGAATGAGAGGTGTGTGTGGCAGAAATCAAGTCCATGTAACATCAGTTTCTTTAACATACCCTCCAAAATTTTCATGTCTATGCCGTGCATGACACGTCCATGTAACATCAGTTTCTTGTATTTGAAGACACTTTGAATATTCAATCTCCATTAGTGTCTTGTAGAATCGGTTTGGTGATCTCGAAACTTCTACTAATAGCCTTCCACGGGGGTCACTTAGCATTAGCAAGTCTCCTTTCATGTTAACCTCACAACCCTTCTCGGTTGCTTGTCCAAGACTTATGATGTTATGCTTAAGGTTTGGGATGTATTAAATGTCTTTGAGTGCTTTTCTCTCTCCGATTTTGCCTACAGACGTGATCGACCATCTGCCTACGATCTCAACATTTGATCCATCACCAAATTTGACCTTACATTTTATGCTTTCATCAAGACTTTAGAAGAACTCTCTATTCCCCGTCATATGGTTACTAGCACCATTGTCTAGATACCATATGCTTGTGTTTCCATCGCTTACATCAAACCTTCTAGGGAACACTCTCTCTTCGTTGAGGAATGAAACTTCGTGCATATATAATGCATCTGCTTCTTGTGTTTCTGTTATGTTAGCTTCTTGGTCTTGTGTAGGTCATGTACGACAGACTGATGCGAAGTGCCCCATCTTTTCACATCTATAGCACTGTACTTTGGAATGATCCTTCTTAGTCTTCTCAGAAGCTTATCCTCCTTCGTTGTGACTACTGAATCTTCCGTGACCTCTACCCCTGCTACCATAATCTCTACCTCTTCCTCGGTAGTTGCTATGACTTCCACGACCTTGCGTATCATTCTTCACAAACATTAGCTTTGATTGATTTTCATCTTGGGTTTCTTGTTTGATGCGCTCTTTGAAAGTATTTATTCTCTCGACAACATCTAAATTCAGCAAGCTTCGAAGATTTTGTTGGGAGAATAAAGACTTTCGAAGAGCGCATCAAACAAGAAACCCAAGATGAAAATCAATCGAAGCTAATGTTTGTGAAGAATGATACGCAAGGTCGTGGAAGTCATAGCAACTACTGAGGAAGAGGTAGAGGTTATGGTAGCAGGGGTAGAGGTCACATAAGATTCAGTACTCACAACGAAGGAGGAGAAGCTTCTGAGAAGACTAAAAAAGATCATTCCAAAGTACAGTGCTGGAGATGTGACAAGATGTGGCACTTTGCATCAGTCTATCCTACATGACCTACACAAGACCAAGAAGCTAACATAACAAAAACACAAGAAGCATATGTATTATATATGCACGAAGTTGCATTATTCAATGAAGAGAGAGTGTTCCCTAGAAGGTTTGATGTAAGCGATGGAAACACAAGCATATGGTATCTAGACAGTGGTGCTAGTAACCATATGACAGGGAATAGAGAGTTCTTCTCAAGTCTTGATGAAAGCATCAAAGGTAAGGTCAAATTTGGTGATGGATCAAATGTTGAGATCGTAGGCAGAGGGTTGATCACGTTTATAGGCAAAACTGGAGAGAGAAGAGCACTCAAAGACATTTATTACATCCCAAACCTTAAGCATAACATCATAAGTCTTTGACAAGCAACCGAGAAGGGTTGTGAGGTTAACATGAAAGGAGACTTGCTAATGCTAAGTCACCCCCGTGGAAGGCTATTAGTACAAGTCTCGAGATCACCAAACCGACTGTACAAGACACCCATGGAGATTGAATATTCGAAGTGTCTTCAAATACAAGAAACTGATGTTACATGGACGTGGCATGCACGGCTTAGACATGAAAATTTTGAAGTCATTAAGAATATGGTTGAAGAAAGGGATGGTGTAGAGAATCATGATCACCAGAACCATGAAAAAAACGATGAAGAAGAAGAATTTGAAGCTGCAACCAAAGAAGAACTTGAAGCTGCAACCGAAGAAGAACAAATAGCAGAGAGTAACGATGAAAATCAAGACCAGCATGTAACATCGAGATATGGCCGTAACATCAGATAGCCAAAGCAGTTCGATGATTACATTCTACTCGCTGAAGTTGAAGGTGGTAGACTCTTGCTCACCATAGATGGTGAACCAGAAATTTACATCGAAGCTGCATCAATACAAGCATGGATCGATGCGATGATGGCTGAGGTCGAATCTATTATCAAAAAACAAGAGTTGGAAGCTCGTCAAGAAGCAGACAGGTGTGAAACCGATAGGTTTCAAGTGGGTCTTCAAGATTAAGGATGAAGCATCCTCGGCAGAAGGAGTTAAGTATAAATCTTGGGTTATTGCAAGAGGTTTCAGTAAGAGAGAGGAAGTACACTACAATAAGACAATCTCATCGATGGTCAGACATACTTCCATCAGAGTGTTGCTAGCGCTGGTAGCACATATTGACATGGAGCTTAAGCAATTTGATGTGAAGACGATGTTTCACGGGAGAAACAAACATATACTCTCAAAGTACCTTTTCATCCGTGAGTGTGTAGAAGATGATCACATCGAAGTCATGCACATACCAGGAGTTCAAGAGATTAACAAGCCTGAGATTTAAGTTATAATTAAGGGGGAGAATGTTGGATAATTGCAATTAACTAAAGGAGAAAGTTAACTTATTAAAGAGGAGTTTAGTAAGTTAAGGAAAAAGGAAAACATATCGAGTTTAGAAATGTTTCCATATTATTATTAGGTTAAGATGTAGCTTCGACCTATATAAAGAGTTGCAGAGATGTTGCATCCCTTAAAGAGAAACAAGAGAAACACATTGATTTAGTTTTGAGAGAGTTTCTAAATCTAATAAGAAGTTTTAGTTCTTATATTTGTGTGTTCTTTCAACGTTAGGTTTGTCCTTCCTGTGAGGAGCAAATACCCTCCTATCAGCATAGTCAATTGGCAACGAATTAACATCATTGCTCAACTGACCTAACCAAGACCCCAATAAACCTCCAGAATCTTCATCAGGCTGGCCACAATCTTCATCAAAATGAACTATCACTTTGCAGTTTTGCAATTTCCAAACTTGTTTTGCTATCAACGTTTGTTCTTGTATTTTTCCATTTGCATCTATTTAATAACCTGACAATGCATTAGTTATCAATACTAAAATTTTATATATATATATATATATATATATATATATATATATATATATATATATCAGTTATATAACACTAATATGTGTCAGTAAAAAAACTGAACATTACCTCTGATTTTCACTTTCCATTTGAAAGTGTTACACTCTGGAGCAAACTGTGGTGGACAACTGAAAATCAATTGCGTCTCTAAAAACTGTGAGTCCTTCGGTGGTTGTGTATCATCAGAATCTGTATAAACCATAACTCTACACAGAAAAAATATAAACCTAGTTAATATGTAGAAATATACTGATGAAATCACATTAATGATAGTTAAAACTAGTAATATTTGAAATAATTATGTTATATAATCTGAACTGTAAGCGCTATAAATATTTACTTCTTCAAAAAAATATTATGATAGGCTACTATCCCATGTTATATAAATCTATATGCTGGACATGAACAACAATATTCCATCCTTGCTCACATGGATCTTCTACATAATACACCATTTTTGCTTGAGAGGCCAAGACATACGGTTTGTCTTATTCTTCATCCCCGTGTGTGATAGATGATCAGAGCTCACCATTTATGACCATAAACATCATGTTTGTAGCCTTGACTACTGTGAGTATCAGCCCATTTACCCTTGAAAATCACAACTCTAAAATTCTCATATTAGTTTAGTTCGATAACTTCTACTAACTTTCCATAAGATATATCTCCTTCTTTGGGATTTTGATCACGCGAACTCGCATAACTCACCGTTAGAATTCACATAAACACCAGTATTTTGTGTTTGGCCATCATCTCTTCTTGATACTGTAAACTTATAGCCGTTGATATTATATGATGAATATTTCACAACTTTTACAGAAGGGCCCAAAGCCAAGCATTCTATTATCGTCCGACACAACTTCAACATCATCTTTTAATACCCTATCATTTAGCCATTTCCCAAAATTAAGATGCACTTCTCTGTCAACATGTAAGACGTGACTCCCTTGCTTTGACAAATCTTTTTCTTGCTAAGATCTTTTATGTATCACCTAAATCAACCATTTAATATAAATGGTTTATTGGTTAAAATATATACGAATTTAAAGTAGAGTATATATTCGTTAATATATAAAACTTACTCTCTCAAATGATCTAGGAATTGACAAGTTATCAATATAAACTGATGCACTTGTTGTATCTCGACATAACTAAGTGTATAAACATGACCAGCTTCGATAAATCAGCCTACATTTGGGAAACTTGATTGAAGCTCCGAGTTTGATTTATGATTTGCACTAATGAATGCCGATCATCAACTCTTCCAACTCTTTTGAATCTTGTCTCTATATCATTGGGAAAAATGTAACACATTCATCAGCCAAATATTGCTCGCATATAGACCCTTTAGGTTTGGCACGGTTACGAACATAAGATTTGAAATGTCCAAGAGTTCTGCACATATATTAATTTTGTGATATACTACTATATTCATGAGTCATGAAATATTTATGTGATTAATATTTTACGACGATCACCTTTCAATTGGATACATCCAGCGAAAAGCCACTGGTCCACCTTGTTTTGCTTCTTTGACGAGATGCACAGTTAGATGTACCATTACCGTGAAAAGCGAGGGTGGGGATACTATTTCCATATGGCATAAAGTCATTATGATATGCTCTTGTAGTTTATATAATTCATCTGGATCAAGGACCCTTGCTGATATAGTTAGGAAAAAACAAGATAACTCAATAATGACAGAAGTTACATCTTGTGGGAGCAGATTCCGAAGTGCTATTGGCAATAAATCTCTCATTATAATATGAGAGTCATGACTTTTAAGACCAGATAGCTTTTGATTCTTTAAATCAACACAGCTAGATATATTTGATGCATATCCGTCCGACAGTTTTACATTTTTTATGACACCTAAGAAAATGTCTTTCCCACTATGATCCAAAGTGAAACTTGCTGGTGCATATTTATTACCAGGCCACAGCTCAGAACGAATACTAAGCTTACAGAAATATTTTCTAGCACCTAAGTTATCTTTTGACTTGCCCTTGTCATCTAAAATTTTGTAAACAATATTGCCAAAGACATTTTTTTTCTATATGCATTACATCTAAATTATGTCGCAAGACAATAGATCCCCAATAAGGCAAGTCAAAATATATATTCTTCTTTTTCGACTGTTGATCCTCACACTTTTCCATAGCACTTCGGTCTCTCTTTTTTACCGACCAAGTCACGTCTCTTTCCAAGAGTAATATTAAATCTTCCTTGTTGATATTTGATTGTAGAACCTGTTGGTGTAACCTGTGGATTTCTAAGTTCTACAATTCCATCAAAAGTAGCTTTATTTTGCCGATACTTATGGTTTCTGGGAAGGAAACGACGATGGCCCATAAAACAGTTTTGTTCCATAGCGTAAAAGTTGACCAACAGCATCATAGTTGTAGCTTGGACATGCTAATGTTGTATAAGTGTTTCAACCGGATAAATTTCCAAAACCCAAAAAATCACTTATTTTCCACATAAGAGCTGCTCTCATGCTAAATATGTGATTTGTTGAAGCATCTCGAGTCTGAATTCCATCAAATCATAACTCCTTTAGTACTTTGTTAAGGGGCTGCAAGAACACATCAATATTATTTTCAGGCATTTTGTTTCCAGGAATAAGCAAAGAAAGGATCATTCATGTTTGCTTTACTGATATCCATGGAGGAAGGTTATATGGAAATAGGATCACCGGCCATATACTACAATTTGTACTTAATGTACCAATGGGTTAAACCATCAGTGGCCAAGACAAGACGAACGTTTCGTGGCGGGAAACTGTAAATCAAAAGCCTTCCAAGCTCCGCCGTCTCGAGGATGTCTAAGCTTTCCATCCCCGCCATGATCAGTTGCATGCCATCTCATATCCGAAGCTGTTTTTGACGACATAAATAATCGTTGTAGACAGGGTTTTAAAGGAAAGTAACGTAATACCTTTGCAGGAATTTGTTTCACTTTCTTTAGAGACTGAGATGCCTCACTAACTTTAGAACTGTCACCTTTCCATCTAGATGCTTCACAAAGTCCACATGTTTCTCTATTTGCATTTGTCTCCCAATATAGCATATAATCGTTTGGACATGCATCAATTGATTCATATGTTAACCCGAGCTTGCGAATAACCTTTTTTATGTCACCAAATGAGTTGGGAAATTTTTCTTTTGGAAAGGCTTCTTTAAGGAATTCAAGCACTATAGAAATTCCCTTATCTCTGATCCCACACATACACTTCATATGATACAACTTCAGTATGAATGTCAACTTTGTAAGTTCAGTGCAGCCAGGGAAGAGGTTTTGATTAAAATTAGCACGCAACTCATCAAAACTAGTTTCATCGCTAGTACCTGATGGGTTATCAGCATCGGTTGGTTGGTCAGAAGAACTATATCTTATCTTAGCTTTGATTTGGATAGAGAACAATGATTACATGGCCATTAACATGTCTACTTTAATTTTTCCAAAGGCAAAATCTAAGAATTTTGTTACGCCATTTGTATAGTTTTGTGATAAACGAGATTTTTTTATCCATGATTTGTCCATAATGACCCAAGAAAAACATATACATATATATTTACAAATTTAGTTAAACATTTATTTATAGTATATAGTTAAAATAACGATACATCTGATTTCATAACAGAAAACCTTTTTTATTAAGAAGATTCATAACTTGGCTGATATGTACATAGTTATTGTTAAGAGTCATCTATCTTATCAAAACAGAATCATTTCATTGAACTCAATTTTTTTTGTAAGTTTTTAAATTAAATACCTCTTTCTACTAGGGATGGGACTTTTATCCGGGATCCGGATTCGATCCGAGATCCGCTACAGCTCCGAAATTAGGAAATCGGGGGGTGTCTGGATCTAAATCTGGATAGTAAAATCTCGGATCCGTGCAAACCGAATCCATATCCGGATATCTTAATTTTTAGGTCTGGATATCCGGATTTGGATTTGTATTTTCAAAATTATATTAATATTTTATTTTATTGTTAATTATATCTGATATATTAATATTTATACATAAAATAAGTTTCATAATATTCTACTTTTATGTTAATAATATTATATGTCATATTTATATTCAGAAATTATGCTTAAATATTTAGTTTATGTTTATTTTTATATTTTTTATATTTTTTTAATTTTTTAATTATTTTACGGATCCGAATCCGGATATCCACGGATATCACAATATCTAGACAGATATTTGGAGTACGGATATCCAGAAAACACGAATCCGAATCCAGATACTAAAACTACAGACCGACGAATCCTGATCCGAATACTTTAAATTTTCTGGATATCCCGATCCGTCCCACCTCTACCTTCTACCATATAATTAAAGCGCACCTTTAATCATATAATCATTAATATTCTTTCCCTGACTATTCAGGCCCTAGATATTATAACAACCGGTTACTAACGACGGGTTAAGCAACGTATTTCAAATGAAATGTGTATATGCATGTGACGTGTCGGTTTGAATAAAGGAAGCATTTGTATTTATATTCTTGAATAGTCTTAAAAACATGTTATAGTGGTAATAGATATAATATTTATTTCGTATACCTTTTTTGTTAGATAAATTGCATTCTCTACACACCATTAATTTCCTATTTAGGTAAATACCCGAAGCTAATGTATTGTACTGTTGAACAAAAATTAATGACACAATTACCCTTTGGTTAACTAAAAAAAAAGAAATTAAAATCTGATTACTCTCACTGTATCTTCCTTTCCATCTCTTCCTCCTTTCCCTACGTAATAGATCCTCAACCTGAAACATATATAATATACAGACATACATATCTTCCTCCCATCTTCTGCGTCACCCATCTTCATCTTCATCTCCACATAAAAAGAAAAACAGTTTTTTGATTATCTGATTCATTTACGAATTAGGGTTTATTGAATGGGTTCTGGGTTTTCTTTCTTTAGCAATAGTTCATCATCTTCAGATAGAAATCTGTTAAAGGCTAGTCTTGGTGATTTGCCTATTAAAGCTTGGTCTTCCCCTCTCTCATAACCCCAGCTTCTTCTCCTTCACCGGAACCATCTGGTGGCTCCGCCAAGGCCTAGGCGGTCTCAACACCTACCTCCGCTCCGTCCACCACCGTCTCAGCCTGATCATCACCCTCCGCATCACTTATCATCCCTCCATCTTTGTCGCCGATCATTCCTTCATTCACCAAA